GCCGCTGCCGAGATTCTCACCAGCACGAAAGAAAGCCTGACCCTCACTCCTTCTGGTGTTGGCCTTGGAATAAGCCCCCTGGTGCTGGAGTCCTGAAACCAAGGGGCCTCTACTCCAGGTCTTCTCAGGCTGACACCCCATTACTAGGTGACCCCTCCTCCTCTCCCCTGAGAGGATAGGTCATAGGATAGGTAACCTATGACCTCCCAGGGCACCTTCACAGTCACAGTGAAAAGTCCTGGAGCAAAATCACTGCAGTCCTACCTCTAGCCACTAACTGGGCAGAGAAGCTCCCAGCCTCTCTGAGTTTCCATTTCCTTCTGTGTAAAATAAAAATGTAGACCTGTATCTAAAGGTGTTGGCAGGAAATTGGCAACACACCCTCAACAGTTGATTAAAGAGAGGTTAGTGGACCAGCATGGAGGCTCATGCCTGTAATCCCAGCACTTTGGGAGGTCAAAGTAGGTGGATCACTTGAGGTCAGGAGTTTGAGTCTGGCTTGACTAACAGAGTGAAACGCTGTCTCTAACTAAAAATTCACAAATTAACCAGGCATGGTGGCACACGCCTGTAGTCTCAGCTACTAGGGATGCTGAGGCACAAGAATCGAGTGAACCCAGGAGATGAAGGTCGCAGTGAGCCAAGATCGCACCACTGCATTGCAGCCTGGGTGACAGAGTGAGACCCTGTACCCCCCACCAAAAAAAAAAAAAAAAAAAAAAGAGGTTAGTGAATGGAGTTGCAGAAGTGTGGGCATGAAGGGTGGTGCAGCACCCTGGAGCTGGCAGCTGCAGGAAGGTCTTACCACTCAGGCCTGAAAAGGCCAAGGAGAGGAGAACAGCCTTCCAGAGGGCAAGGCCCAGCCACTGCCAGCCTGGCCTTGGAAGCGGGGACCTGATGGAACAGATACCCCACCTCTCTCTCCTCTGCTCTCCAGTCTCTTACCAGTGTCCCCCACTGGCACAGGTTAATGGGAAACCAGCAGATAAGGGAGCTGAGTGATTCAGGTCACAGAGGTCAGCCTCCTGGGACACAGAACACAGCCAGTGCAGAAGAGTGAGCAGAGGAGCTGGAGGGGCAGATGAAAATATCTGGCATAAGTGACTACTTTGTAAAACACCTAGCTTAGTCAAGATATATTGCCTGTAGACTGGGCGTGGTGGCTCATGCCTGTCATTCAAGCACTTTGGAGGCCAAGGCGGGAGGATCACCTGAGGTTGGGAGTTCAAGACCAGCCTGACCAACATGGTGAAACCCCGTCTTTAAAAAAAAAAAAAAAAGAAAGAAACATTTCCTGTAATTGCCATTATTTGCTTAGACCTGAGGATTCTTCTTTTTTTTTTTTGAGACGGAGTCTCCCTCTGTCACCCGGGCTGGAGTGCAGTGGCACAATCTCAGTGCTCACTGCAACCTCTGCCTCCTGAGTTCAAGCCATTCTCCTGCCTCAGCCTCCCAAGTAGCTGGGACTACAGGTGCACGCCACCATGCCCAGCTAATTTTTTATAGTTTAGTAGAGATGGGGATTCACCGTTTTGCCCAGGCTGGTCTCGAACTCCTGAGCAATCCACCCACCTCTGCCTCCCAAAGTGATGGGATTATAGGCATGAGCCACCATGCCAAGCCAGACCTGAGGGTTGTTTTTAAAAGAGGGCAGAGGGCAGAGGGCAGAGGGCAGGGGGCAGAGGGGAGAGGGCAGGGGGCAGAGGGCAGAGGGCAGAGGGGAGAGGGCAGGGGGCAGAGGGCAGAGGGCAGAGGGGAGAGGGGAGAGGGGAGAGGGGAGAGGGGAGAGGGGAGAGGGGAGAGGGGAGAGGGGAGAGGGGAGAGGGGAGAGGGAGAGGGGAGAGGGGAGAGGGGAGAGGGGAGAGGGAGCAAGCGCTAAAGGGATGACCATCTAATGGTGGAATTTTGTTTCAAATGGATGACCAAGAATAGGACATGTATAAGGCAAACTTTTAACAAGATCTCCACAAATCAGGCCTCCAAGTCCCCTTCCCTGTTTAGTAATCCGTTTTTGAGTGCCTGTTATACCCGATGGCTAGGAGGAAGCTGGGGGGCTAGGCTGAGCTGCTAAACCCCCTGAGTTCTGAATCTGAGTTGGGAGTGGTGGGGATTGCAGTGGAGGTTAATTACAGTTCCCAGTTGCCCTCTGAAGTCACCCCATCCTGAAGCCCAGGTTGGCATTTTGGCAGGAGCTCCCAAAGAGAGGGGGTGGCCTCTGGCCATTCTTTCTCTCTCCAGATGCTCGAGGTAGACCCTGAACCAAGAGGGAAGAGGGGCAGGTTTCTGTGAGTATGCCCAGGCCTTGGCACCTCACCTGCCAACAAGAAAGGTGGGTTGGGAGGGGGAGCATCAGCCCTGTAATCCTGCTGGGAAAGGAGACCGGTGTGGAAAACTTCCCCAGGGGCAGGGCCAGGCAGGAAGGAGCAGGCTTTGTCTGAGGGAGACAGAGGTGAAACGCATGACGTCAAGTCCACCTGGGCTGGGCCTGGCCTCCAGCCGCACCCCACCCCATCTTGGCAGGACTGAGGCCCTCCCAGCCAATTCTTGCCCTGGCTGCCTGGCCAAAGCTGGGAACGATGAAATGGGGGTTCACCCACTATACAGGACCTGCTCCCTTGCTGGGCTTGTCAGCCTGTTTCTGAATCATTGAGAAGGAAAAGGTCATGCATGGAGGGCTGTGCCTCCCGAGGGGGCAGGGAGGGGTCACAGCTGAGGCTCCAGAGTGGAGAGGGAGAGAAAGGCCTGCTGTTTGCCCAGGAGCTGAGCAGACACTGGGGCCCTTGTCCTAGGGCAGTAGGGGGAGGCTGCTGGCCAGATGGAGAGAAGCCGGCCTGGCCTGAGCCGTCGGCCTCTTCCTCCCACAGTCCCACCGGCTGCTGGGCCGGCCTGAGAACAGAGGCGGCTGGGCTGAGGTCTGAGGGATTGCAGCTCCCAACCCCCCCAGGCACCACAATGCAGAGACAGCCAGGCCTCAGAAACATCCCAAGGTGCTGAATGCAGTGCTGCCTTCCGGAGGCCCCGGTGCTGCAAACGTCCTCAGAGTCTGGCCTTCAAAGTTGGGCAGATTTTCTCTGGAAGGGGTTTATTTGGGAGAAGATCCCCGGAAGCACAAGCCTGGTTGGCACTGGGGCTCGACCCTGCTGGCGACATTCTCAGGGGCTGTGCCCTACAGCCTCAGGTTGTCCCACCAAGGGGTGGGAGAGCCGAGGTGGGGAGCAGGTTGTTTAACCACTAACTCCTGCACTTGTTGGTGGAGGGTAGTACTAGGACTTTAATCCCAGCATCCCCGTGTCCCTGTGGAGAGGGAGGAAGCCCAGGACAGAGGAACAGCCTAGCAGAAACCGTGGAAGGACTCAGAGGGGCACTGAGAGCCCCAACCTAGGTCCTCTGCTTTTTTTTTTTTTTTTTCTTTTTCAACAAACATTTATTGAGCACCTGCTGTGGGCCACACACTGGCAATGAAGCAAAGGTATATTAGTTCCTTGCTTACTCCAAAAACTTTGTGCCTTAAAACACACACTTATTGTCTTATAGTTCTGGAATGCAGAAGTCCTAAAACCGAGGTGTTGTCAGGCTGGTTTCTCCTCAGGAGGTTCTAGAGGAAAATCCTTGCATCTTCCAGTAGTGGCCTGGAATGCCGGGACGCGCTGATATTTATTGTATACAAGGCAGGGGGGCAGGATAAGGAAAGTGACTCATCTGACATGATTGATAGGGTCAAGCAAATCACGTGCTTATAGTACAGGGTCCCCTCCCTCTCAGGCAGCCGCTGCAAGGAGGGGAGGCACAAATGTCAGCATCTTTCTATGCACTTATCAGAAAGATCAAAGGCATTTAGGATTCTGCTACTCTTACTTCTCACGATTTCTAAGGAGCTCTGGGTGGGAAAGCAGAACATGAAAGTGGACAAGGAGGGTGACCACTGGAGCACAGCACCACAGAGAGGCATTTAAGCCCCTGCATGTCTGGCAGGCCTGGCTAATGTCAGGCCTTTCTCAAGAGCCGGGCAGAGCAGAGTGTTCTCTGAACTCCCCCCGGTAATAGGGAAACTTCCCTTCATGGCCTGCTAAGTAACAGGGCGCCTTCCCAGTGTGTGGCCCCTTAGCACAAGGCCTAACTGCTAAGTAATGGTGCCTTCCCAGGTGCTGGCATTATCACAAGGCTCTCACTGTCGCCTCAGGATCACTTCTCAAAATGTCCCTTCAGTTGCTAATTATATTTCACCCGATTATGTCTATACTATAAGACTAAAATGATTCTATGCTATAAAACTAAAGCAAAGATTAATAATAGAAAATTATGGGCCAGATGCAGTGGCTCACACCTGTAATCCTAGCACTTTGGGAGGCTGAGGCGGGCAGATCACCTGAGGTCAGGAGTTGGAGACCAGCCTGACCAATATGGTGAAACCCCATCTTTAAAAAAATAAAAAATAGGGCCGGGCGCGGTGGCTCAAGCCTGTAATCCCAGCACTTTGGGAGGCCGAGGCGGGTGGATCACGAGGTCAAGAGATCGAGACCATCCTGGTCAACATGGTGAAACCCCGTCTCTAAAAATACAAAAAATTAGCTGGGCATGGTGGCGCGTGCCTGTAATCCCAGCTACTCGGGAGGCTGAGGCAGGAGAATTGCTTGAACCCAGGAGGCGGAGGTTGCAGTGAGCCGAGATCGCGCCATTGCACTCCAGCCTGGGTAACAAGAGCGAAACTCCGTCTCAAAAAAAAAAATAAAATAAATAAATAAATAAATAAATAAATAAATAAAAAATAAAATAAAAAATAAGGCCGGGCGCGGTGGCTCACGCCTGTAATCCCAGCGCTTTGGGAGGCCGAGGTGGGTGGATCACGAGGTCAAGAGATCGAGACCATCCTGGTCAACATGGTGAAACCCCGTCTCTACTAAAAATACAAAAATTAGCAGGGCATGGTGGTGCGTGCCTGTAGTCCCAGCTACTGGGGAGGCTGAGGCAGGAGAATCACTTGAACCCAGGAGGCGGAGGTTGCGGTGAGCTGAGATTGTGCCATTGCACTCCAGTCTGGGTAACAACAGCAAGCCTCCATCTCAAAAAAAATAAATAAATAAAAGAGAATTATGATTTAATAAGATTGATTATATAATTGATTATGTGATTGTTTCCAAATCTATCCGGTAGCATTGCTATAACTAAGTGATCAGTTATTTATGATACTGGGACAGATTGTGCCTTCAGTCTCTTGCCTTGGCACCTGGGCAACACTCTTCCCCAAGACTGCAGAGATTTGGGGCCCAACTGATAATATAAAGTACGCTAACCTTGACCGTGTTCACCATGCTCTGGCTCTAGAGGGATGAGAGTCGCTGGGGAAGTTGGTGCCATTTTGTGTATCTTCTGCACCTTGCAGTCCCTCAGAAATCTTGCCCTGGTCTTCTGGTTCTAAGAACACAAGTTCCCTTTTTCTCTGGAGATGAAATCTAGATCTTCGATTTTGGAACCAAATTTGGACTCTTAACTCTGGAACACCAATTTCCTTAGCAAGCTGTTCTCTGTAATGAATCCCAGGGTGTGGGTTTTTCGTAACTGCCTCAATGAGAGTGCATAACTGAAAGGTGCCGTACACGGCACGACACCGTCTGGCTTCTCTACTTTGAAACTCCGTATCAGATTGGTCTTGCCCATGGCTCTGGCTTGATTCTAAAGTCTCAGATCCTGGTCTTTTCCGGAATCCAAACCTAGCTCTTCGATTCTGAAACCAATTCTGGATTCTGGACTCTTCTGTGTTGATTTCTAAAGCAAGTTTTTGTCTGGTGGCACAACCTGGGTAGGGCTTTTGATTGAAGGTATTGATGAGGATTTTCAACTGATCTTCTGTAAATTTGGTGCGGCTGCGCCTATGATTTGTTCCTACCATCTTGTGTGAAGAGGTGTCCTCGGCCACGCTGGAAGAGTCCTGGAGGCTGAGCCAGTGTCTGGACTTTTTTTTTTTTGAGAAGGAGTTTTGCTCCTGTTACCCAGGCTGGAGTGCAGCGACGCGATCTCGGCTCACCAAAACCTCTGCCTCCTGGGTTCAGGCAATTCTCCTGCCTCAGCCTCCTGAGTAGCTGGGATTACAGGTACACGCCACCATGCCCAGCTAATTTTTTGTATTTTTTGTAGAGACGGGGTTTCACCATGTTGACCAGGATGGTCTTGATCTCTTTACCTCGTGATCCACCCGCCTCGGCCTCCCAAAGTGCTGGGATTACAGGCGTAAGCCACCGTGCCCAGTGTTTTTTGTTTTTGTTTTTGTTTTTTAAGACGGGGTTTCACCATGTTGGTCAGGCTGGTCTTGAACTCCCGACCTCAGGTGATCCACCTGCCTTGGCCTCCAAAGTGCTTGGATTATACGCGTTCGCCACCACGCCCAGCCAGTCCTGCCTTTTCCACCACCTCTCCAATCACTCATTCATCCCATAAACCCCCAGTGGGCGCCTGCTGCCTGCCAGCCTCATGTGGGGCTCATTTCACAGGAAACATTCAGATCCCTGTCACTTTGCTGCAGGAAGCAGCAGAGTATGGAATCTGAAGGTCCCTGGAAGGGGGTCCCCAGGAACGGGAGGGCCTGTGGTCAGTCTCCTTGAGCTCCAAAGGGTGGTTCCCAGAGTACAGAGATGGATTCCTGCCAAGCACTGCCCACACTCAGCTGAGTTCCCGGGTGAACCAACCCTGAAGGACCATTGCACTGGCATTCTCCTCTCCCCTCCCAGTCAAAGCAGGGGCATGAAGGGGAGGATTCCCCAAGGGCCTAGGTGCCCCTGGTTGCCATGGACCCCAGCTGCAGCCCAGCTCCTGACCCACTGCAAGCCTGTGGTAGACATGGATTGGGCCAAGCTGAACATCAGAAGCTCCTTCCTGTGGTTGGCACTGCTGTCATTCTATGCTCTATTTCAAAGCGTAACCACTCCCAGGAGTGACCCCAGCATACTAGTAGCCCTCTGTGTTTGTACAGAGTTGGCTGGGGGAGCAGAAAGGAAAGCTACCCAGAGCGAGGCACATGGGGAGGATTCAGAAAGGAGGAACAAATAACCAACCATTGCCAGCACCCGATGCCCGCCCAGGTGGTGCCATGGTGCTTAGGTGTGTTGGTGCTTAGTCTTAACTCATTCTAGTCCCCATTTTACAGATGAGGAAACTGAGGCTTACCAAGCTGTTGGGACTTGCTGTCAATCAAACAGCTAATGGTTCATTCCTGTGCTCCAGATGCGGAATGGAAAGTCAGCTGTTTGGTGAAGGCTGTGCAGCAAGGCATCCTCATTTGTCACATAAGGAAAGCTCAGGGAGGTGAAGGGGTTTGCTCAATGTCACAATCTATTAAGTGACAGAGTTGGGACTTAAACTCAGGTCTGCTTGTCGCCAGAGCCTGTAGGCGTCACCTCCATGCTGCAGAAGAGTCACAGCTGGGGAATCTGGGAGGATAATCTCTTTTCACTCAGGCGTTACACTCAAAGGCAGGGCAGCCCAGCAGAGGACCCCTCACAGACCCTGCCCTGAACACTTCCCCAGCAGTGGCTGGGAGGAGCCTCAAAGTTGGGACAGGGACTTCACCAAAGCCTATCTCCAACCTCCACCTGCAGCTGCCTCCAAGATCTTCTGTGATCCCGCCGTCCGGTGGTGAGGCCCTGGCCCACTCCCTCCATCCTGAGCCAGACAGGCCTTTGAGCCCAGAGTGAGTTTTCTCTGGCACCATAGTCTGTGGACCACACACAGGCTCCACCTGCCCTGCTTCCAGCTGACTCCAAAGCCAATCGCGGAGATTCATTAGCTCTCCCTTTGCCCCACAGACTAAATGCACAGCAGGAAGATAAGAGGTTAGACAGCAGGGAGGACTTCCAGGTTGTTGAGAATGGAGATGTGAAGATTGGGTGACAGAGGTCGTGGTGTTCTTTTAAAACAGAAAATGCAGGAATGCAGGCTGCCTGACTAAAACCCCAAATTCAGGGGTTCCGGACTGATTAACTTTTTTTTTTTTTTTGCCTTTGCAGCTCTCTCCCTTCAGGGCCTGGGTGCTGGGAGTGGGAACTGGAAGGCTGCCTCTGGAACCTGTTCAGACCTCCAATCAGGACCACACCCGACAGCTCACATTGTTCCCATTCATAATAATAATTAGTATTTCGTGAACACTTACTACAGGCTCTTTATGTCTATATTAACTCAATCCCCAAATGGCCCTATGGGAGGGGAGGGGTCCTATTATCATGCCTGCTTGACAGATGAGAAAACTGAGGCCCAAGGCCCTCTGCCAGACTCTTCATCTTCCCACATCTGCCCATCCTCAAGGTCTCCCTTCCTGAAAGGTCATGCCAAGGACATCTGGCCTCTCTCTCTTCTGCTCTCCACAATGCAATCAGTGCTTAGGGACCTCCCTGTTTGGGCCTAGGCTCTCCAGGCCAAACTGCCACTGCCTAGCTCTTAACCTTGAGCAAAAGCCTTCTCTAAACCTCAGCTTTCTTATCTGTCAAATGGGGACTACGAAGGTAGAGGACTGATATGGTGTGGATATTTGTCCCCTCCAAATCTCATATGGAAATGTCATCCTCAGTGTTGGAGGTGGGGCTTGGTGGGAGGTGTTTGGGTTAAGGGGGTGGATGCCTCTTGAATGACTGGTGCCCTCCTCATGGTAATGAGTGAGTCTTTGCTCTGGGTTTGTACAGTATCTGGTTTGAAAAAAAAATGTGGCACCTCCCCCCTCCCCGATCTCTTTCTTGCTTTCTCTTTCACCATGTGACATGCCTGCTCCTGCTCTGCTGTCCACCATGACTGGAAGCTTCCTGAGGCCTCACCAGGTGCCATGCTTCCTGTGCAGTTCCTGCAGAACTGTAAGCTGATCAAACCTCTTTTCTGTATAAATTACATAGCCTTAGATATTTGTTATTTTTTTTTATTTTTTTTTTTAAAGACGGGGTTTCACCATGTTGGTCAGGCTCGTCTTGAACTCCCGACCTCAGGTGATTCGCCTGCCTTGGCCTCCAAAGTGCTTGGATTACAGGCGTGAACCACCATGCCCAGCCACCTTAGATATTTGTTTTATAGCAATGCAAGAATGGACTAACACTGAAAATTGGTACCAAGAGTGGGGCATTGCTATAAAAATACCTGAAGATGTGAAAGTGGCTTTGGAACTGGATAATGGGTAGAGGCTGGAAGAGTTTGGAGGGTTAAGAGGAAGACAGGAAGTTGAGGGGAAGTTTGGAACTTCTCAGAGACTGGTCAAGTGGTTTCGACCAAAATGGTGATGGTGAGATGGATACTGAAGGTCAGGCTGATGAGGTCTCAGATGGAAATGAGGAAGTTATTGGGAACTGGAGTAAAGGTCACCCGTGTTATGTCCTTGCAAAGAACTTGGCTGCACTGTCTCCATGCTCTAAGGATTTGAGGAAGTTTGAACTTAAGAGTGATGACTTGATGTATCTGATGGAATAAATTTCTAAGCAGTAAAGCATTCAATATGTGGCCTGACTGCTTCTAACAACCTATTATCAGATATGGGAGCAAATAAATGACTTAAAGTTAGAATTTTTATTTAAAAAGGAAGCAGAGCTTAAAAGCTTGGAAACTTTGCAGCCTGACCATGTGGCAGAGAAAGAAAAAAGCATTTTCTTTCTTTTTTTTAAAGATGGGTTTTCACCATGATGGCCAGACTGGTCTTGAACTCTTAACCTCAGGTGATCCACCCACCTCAGCCACTCAAAGTGCTGGAATTACAGGCATGAGCCACCGTGCCCAGCAGCATTTTCTTTTTTTTTTGAGACAGAGTTTTAAGCTTTTGTTGCCTGGACGGGAGTGCAATGTCATGATCTCGGCTCATAGCAACCTCCACCTCCTGGGTTCAAGCGATTCTTCTGCCTCAGCCTCCTGGGTAGCTGGGATTACAGGCATGTGCCACCACGCGTGGCTAATTTTTTGTATTTATTTGAGAAGGGGTTTCACCATGTTGGTTAGCTGGTCTCAAACTCCCAACCCCAAGTGATCCACCTGCCTTAGCCTCCCAAAGTACTGGGATTACAGGCATGAGCCACTGCATCCAGCGCATTTTCTTTTTTCTTTTTTTTGAGATGGAGTTTCATGCTCCTATTGTTCAGGTTGGAGTGCAACGGTGTGATCTCGGGTCACTGCAACCTCTGCCTCCTGGGTTCAATCAATTCTCCTGACTCAGCCTTCCTAGTAGCTGGGATTACAGATGCCCACCACCAAACCCAGCTAATTTTTTTTTGTTTTTTGAGACCGGGTCTGGCTCTGTTCCCCAGGCTGGAGTGCAATGGCATGATCTCAACTCACTGCAACCTCCAATTCCTGGGTTCAAGGGATTCTCCTGCCTCAATTTCCTGAGTAGCTGGGATTACAGGCACCTGCTACCACGCCCGGCTTATTTTTGTATTTTTAGTACAGATGGGGTTTCACCATGATGGCCAGGCTGGTCTCAAACTCCTGACCTCGTGATCCACCCACCTCATCCTCCCAAAGTGCTGTGATTACAGGAATAAGCTGCCACGCCTGGCCAATTTTTTATACTTTTAGTAGAGACAGGGTTTCACTTTGTTGGCCAATCTGGTCTCAAACTCATGACCTCAGGTAATCCACCCACCTCATTCTCCCAAAGTACTGGGATTACAGGCATGAGCCACTGTGCCCGGCTCGTGAAAAAAATATTTTCGGAAGAGGAATACAAGCAGGCTGTGGAGCAATCACTTGCTAGAGAAATTTCCAAGACTAAAAGGAAGCCAAGTGTTAATATCCAAGACAATGGAAAAAAAGGCCTCAAGGGCATTTCAGAAATCATTAGAGCAGCCCCTCCCATCACAGACCCAGAGCCTAGGAGGAAAGACTTGTTACCTGGGCCAGGCCCAGGGTCCTGCTGCCCTGCCCAGCTTTGAGACAGAGCTGCCCACATCCCAGCTGCTCCATGTCTAGCTATGGCTCAAAGGGCACCAGATACGGCTTGGGCTGCCATTCTGGAGTGTGCAACCCGTAAGCCTTGGCAGCTTCCATGTGGCGTTAAGTCTGCATGTGCACAGACTGCGCATGAAGAAGGCTTGACAGCTTTCCCTAGATTTCAGAGAATGTATGAGAAAGGCTGGGTGCCCAAGGCAGAAGCCTGCCACAGGGGAGGAGAGATGTGGAATTGGAATCCCCACACAGAGTCCCCATCAGGACACTGCCTAGTGGAGCTGTGGAAAGGGGACTGCCATGCTCCAGACCTCAGAACGGTAGAGCCATGGGCAGCTTGCCTCCTGAACCTGGAAAAGCTGCAGGCACTCAACTTCAACCAAGAGCACCCCCAGGGGCTGCACCCTGCAAAGCCACAAGGCCAGAGCTCCCCAGTGGGACAGGGAGTCAAAGAAGATTATTTCAAAACTTTAAGATTTAATGACTGCCCTGCTGGATTTAGGACTTGTATGGGGTCTCTTGCCTCTTTCTTTTGGCAAATTTCTCTCTTTAAAAATGAGAATGTTTATTTGATGCCTGTACTACCACCGTATCTGGGAAGTAAGTAACTTGTCTTTCATTTCACAGGCTCAGAGGTGGAAGAAATTCATCTCTGGGTGAGACTTTGGACTTGGGACTTTTGACTGATTGATAGTGAAACAAGTTAAGACTTTTGGGGACTATTGGGAAGGGATGATTGTATTTTGCAGTGTGAGAAGGATATGAGATTTGGAGGGTCATGGGGCAATATGACATGGTTTGGATATTTGTCCCCTCCAGCTCTCATGTTGAAATATAATCCCAAGTGTTGGAAGTGGGGACTGGTGGGAGGTGCTTCGGTCATGAGGGTGATCCCTTGTGAATAGCTTGGTGCCCTCCTTGCAGTGATGAGAGAGTTCTTGCTCTGAGTTCATGTGAGATCGGGCCGGGCGCGGTGGCTCACGCCTGTAATTCCAGCACTTTGGGAAGCCGAGGTGGGTGGATTACGAGGTCAAGAGATCGAGACCATCCTGGTCAACATGGTGAAACCCTGTCTTTACTAAAAATACAAAAGATTAGCTGGGCACGGTGGCGCGTGCCTGTAATCCCAGCTACTCAGGAGGCTGAGGCAGGAGAATTGCCTGAACCCAGGAGGCAGAGGTTTCGGTGAGCCGAGATCTTGCCATTGCACTCCAGCCTGGGTAACGAGCGAAACTCCATCTCAAAAAAAAGAGTGTCTCTACAAAAAAAAAAATTAATAAATAATAAATAAATAAATATTATAATAAATTTATTTATTTATTATAAATAAAAAAAGAGTGTGGCACCTACTACCACTTTCTCTCACGAGCTCTCTTTCTCTTTCTCTCTCTTTTTTTTAAAATTTAAAAACAGGGTTTCACCACGTTGGTCAGGCTGGTCTTGAACTCCCGACCTCAGGTGATCCGCCCGCCTTGGCGTCCAAAGTGCTTGGATTACAGGTATGAACTACCACGTCTGGCTGCTCTCTCTCTCACCATGTGAGACACCTGCTTCCCTTTGCCTTCTACCATGATCGCAAGCTTCCTGAGGCCTTCACAAGGAACAGATGCTGGTGTCATACTTCCTGTACAGCCTGCAGAACCATGAGCCAATGAAACTCTTTTCTTTATGAATTACCCAGTGTCAGGCATTTCTTCATAGCAATGCAAATGGAGTAACACAAGGACTCTGGTGAGTATGAATACTCTTATCTGGCTTCAGCAAGATAAGAGACATTGTGCCCAATGACCAGTCCCTGGCACAGAGCCCATACTTAAAAGAGGCAGGTCATCTTGGCTAGATTTATTATATATGTTCTATTATTATTATTATTATTTTGAGAGGGAGTTTTGCTTTTGTGGTTCAGGCTGGAGTGCAATGGTACGACCTCAGCTCACTGCAACTTCCGCCTCCCGGGTTCGAGCGACTCTCCTGCCTCATCCTCTAGAGTAGCTGGGATTCCAGGCGCCCGCCACCACCCCCAGCTAATTTTTTGTATTTTTAATAGAGACGGGGTTTCACCATGTTGGCCAGGCTGGTCCTGAACTCCTGACCTCAGGAGATCTGCCCACCTCGGCCTCCTGAAGTGCTGGGATTACAGGCGTAAGCCACCGTGCCCGACCCTGCTCTCTTATTATTAATAGTACTTCATTATCATAACTCTGTGGATTTCATCTCCCAGCCTGATTATAAGTTTGTTGAAGACTCATCTTAAAACCTCTGTCTTGGTTTAGGTTCCCCAGGATGCAGACCCTGAGACAAAGGTTAGAGGACACACACTTGAATGTGTGTGTGTGGGGGGGGTGCCCACGGCAAACACCAGCAGAGGAATGGAGAAGTGACACGGGAGGGAAGGATGCCAAGAATGGAGACGTCATGGAACCAGTCACCACTGTGAGCAGTTATAGCCCTCTGGAGAGCTCAGAGAGCCAGGCTAGAGTATGCCTCAGAGTTGACCCACGCCAGCTGCCAGGCAGCAAGGGGTTTGTTGTTTCATTGATTAATTATTTTGAGACAAGGTCTTGCTCTGTCATCCAGGCTGCAGTGCAGAGGCACAATCATGGCTCACTGTAGTCTCAACTTCCTGGGCTCAGGTGATCCTCCTGCCTCAGCCTCCCAAGGAGCTGGGACTATAGGTGCATACCACCATGCCCAGATAATTTTTTACTTTTTTTTTCCTTTCAGCTGGAGTTTCGCTCTGTTGCCCAAGCTGGAGGGAATGGCACAATCTCGGCTCACTGCAACTTCCACCTCCCAGGAACAAACCATTCTCCTGCCTCAACCTCCCAAGTAGTTGGGAGTACAGGCGTGTGCCACAATGCCCAGCTAATTCTTTGTAATTTTAGTAGAAACAGGGTTTCAACATGTTAGCCAGGCTGGTCTTGAACTCTTAACCTCAGTTGATTCACCCTCCTTGGCCTCCCAGAGTGCTGAGATTACAAGCGTGAGCCACTGCGCCCGGCCCAATTTTTTACTTTTTGTAGAGACGTGGTCTCATTATGTTTCTCAGGCTGGTCTCAAACTCCTGGGCATAAGCAATCCTCCTGCCTCAACCTCTCAAAGTGCTGGGATTACAGCAGTGAGCCACCTTGCACCCAGCCTCTTTTTTTTAAGAGATAAGATCTTTCGGCCAGGCACAGTGGCTCACGCCTGTAATCCTAGCACTTTGGGAGGCTAAGGCGGGCAGATTGCCTGAGGTCAGGAGTTTGAGATCAGCCTGACCAACATGGAGAAACCCCATCTCTACTAAAAATGCGAAACTATCGGGGCATGGTGGCACATGCCTATAATCCCAGCTACTTGGGAGGCTGAGGCAGGAGAATCACTTGATCCTGGGAGGTGGAGGTTGCAGTCAGCTGAGATCACGCCATTGCACTGCAGCCTGGGCAACAAGAGCCATACTACATCTCAAAAAAAAAGAGAGAGACTGCAACTTAAAAAAATTCTTGCTCTATTGCCTAGGCCTGAGTGTAGTGGCAGGATCATAGCTCACTGCAGCCTTGAACTCCTGGGCACAAGTGATCCTCCCACCTCAGCCTCCCGAGTCACTAGGATGACAGATGCATGCCACCATGCCCAGAAGGGTGTTTTTTTTTTTTTTTTTTTTTTTTTTAGGGAAAAAGAGAAAAAGAAGGGGAAAAAAGAAAAAGAGGGAAAAAGGAATATTACTTCATTCCTAAAATGGGTTTCAATAATGGCCGATCAATATTTTGAGTGTTTAAAGTGGTTAATGCATATTTTATGTGTTTAAAATGGAGACCTCTATTGTGTTTATTTGTTCTGGCTCTGAGTTCAAATCCTGGATATCGTTATCAATTTGTTGTCTCGTTGAATCTAAATCTCACTATGTGTCTTATGTATCTGGGTGTTAAGATCTCTTATTGTTACATTAATCCTTTTACCCTTGTATCCTTATAGCTTTGAAATCTATTTTGTCAAATGTGAAAATTGCAACTCCTGCTTTTTATTTATTTATTTTTGCTCTCCATTTGGTTGGTACTTTTTTTTTTTTCCAACCCTTTATTTTGAGTCTATGCATATCTTTGGATATACCGTTGGATTTTGTCTGTATCTTTTGATTGGGAGATTTGGTTGATTTAACTTTAGGGTTGCTGCCATTTGATATTAACTGGCTATTTTGTCCTTTAGTTGATAAAAAATTCTTCTTTATGTTAATGCTCTTTACTTTTTGGTGTATTTTTAGAAAGGATCATACTGGTTGTTCCTTTCTGTGTATAATGCTTCTTTTAGAAGTTCTTGTAAAGCAGGCCTGGTGGTAATAAAATCTCTGAGTACTTGCTTGTTCCTAAAAGATTTTATTTTTCCTTCAAATGTAAAGCTTAAATTGGCAGGATATGAAATTCTGGGCTGAAAGTTTTGTTCTTTAAGTATATTGAATATTGGCCCCCACTCTCTTCTAGCTTGTAGGGTTTCCGTTGAGAGATCTGCTGTAAGCCTAATAGGCTTACCTTTATGGGTAACTTGATCTTTCTCTCTGGCTGCCCTTAATATTTTCTCCTTCGTTTCGATCTTGGTGAATCTAACGATTATGTGCCTTGGGGTTGGTCTTCTTGAGGAATATCTTTGTGGTGTTCTCTGTATTGCCTGGGGTTGAATAGTGTTCTGCTTTGCTAAATTAGGAAAATTTTCCTGGATAATGTCCTGGAGAGTATTTTCCAGCTTGACTTCATTCTCTCTGTCACATTCAGGTACACCAATCAAGCGTATATTAGGTCTTTTCACATAGTCCCATATTTCTTGGAGACTTTGCTCATTCCTTTTTATCCTTTTTTCTCTATTCTTGTCTTGTCGTTTTGTTTCATTAAGTTGGTCTTCGACCTCTAATACCCTTTCTTCTGCTTGATCCATTCGGCTTTTTAAGCTTGTACATATTTCACTAAGTTCTCGTGTTGTATTTTTCAACTCCATAAGTTCATTTGTATTCCTCTCTATATTGTCTATTCTTTTCAACATTTCATCGAACCTTTTTTCCAAGTTCTTAGTTTCTTTACATTGGGTTAGAACAAGTTCCTTTAACTCCCAGAAGTTTCTTATCATCCACCTTTTAAAGCCTACTTCAGATAATGGAACACAGTCCTTTTCCATCAGGGCTTGTTCCGTTACTGATGAGTCCTTTTCCATCTGGGCTTGTTCGGTTGCTGATGAGTCCTTTTCCATCAGGGCTTGTTCCGTTGCTGATGGGTTCTGAGTTTGAGTATACTCGGCCTTCTTAGGCTGTTTTTTTCCCTTCATTATAGATGAACCGCCTTTCTAATTAGTTTTCTGAGTCAACGTCCGACTTACTGATTCCCAGTGCTGGGATCCGAGCCACCCACTGTGGCAGCCTAAATAGCAGCAGTAAGACTGATGGTGCTCTTCTGCCCGGGAATCTCTGGTCTGGCTTCCCTCTTGAGTCCACAACAAGCGGCTCTGACTTCCCCGAGCTCCAAACTCCGGTCAGTAGGGGAAGCAGTCCCGTTGGCTCTGCGTGAAGAGCTGCTGCGCCGAGACGCCGGCAAAACCGCTGCGGCGGCCACAAGAGTCACGCTGGCGACCCGTGGGGCTCCTCCACTGGGAATCGGCTAATCGGTGAGTGACGAAAATTCGTCTAAAGATGTGGCGTCGTCTCGTTCTCTGAGCTTTCACTGGGAGCTACAATCCTGAGCTGTTAGTGGTCGGCCATCTTGAATCGTCTCTCCCAGAAGGGTGTTTTTTCATCAACTGCTGGTTGGTCATTCCTTGAAGGCTGCTTCTTTAACTCTCTGGACCTCCGGCCTGCCCTGTGACCATGACCAGCCATCCTCCCACAGACAGAAAAAAGGCAGAGAGTTGCCCAAGAGCTCAGTAAACAGTCTTCATAGGTAGGGAGGAAAGCTGAGGGATGCAGGCAGACACCAGGGCAACTGCCGCAACTTTCTCCCGTTCCTGTAGCCTTCCTGCCAACAGGCCACTTCGAGGACGCTGCAGTCCCCTCCCTCACAGGTGACTGTTTTTGCTGTCATCTATCCGTGTGTTCATATAAGCATGTAGGTGTGTATCTGGACCGGGTTTCACAGTCACAAGGAATGTTCAACTGGTAAAAAGGTGAATAGGGGGCTGGCCATGGTGGCTCACACCTGTAATCAATCCCAGCACTTTGGGAGACCGAGGCTGGTAGATCAATTGATGTCAGGAGTTCAAGACCAGCCTAGCCAACATAGTAAAAAGCTGTCTCTACTAAAACTACAAAAATTAGCCAGGCGTGGTGGCACACACCTGTAATCTCAGCTACTGGGGAGGCGGAGGCAGGAGAATCGATTGAACCCAGGAGACAGGGATTGCAGTGAGCCAAGATTGCGCCACTACACTCCAGCCTGGGCAATAATGAGACTCCGCATCAGAAAAAAAAAAAAAAATGGGGCAGACAGGAAAACATCTCCCTCCATCAGCCCCAGACATTCCCTCCCCTCCAGAGGCAACCCTGTTACCAGCCTCGCCCTCACATGCCCTCCTCTTGCCGGTCAGTCTTTCTAGTGTTGACTCCAGCCCTAGCCACATCTAAGGCCTCAGTTCCCTGAAGCTGGGAGCCCTGGTCACGGCTCATCCTGTCTTCATCCGGCTCCAGCCCTGCTCAGCCAGTAGGCCAGGGTTAGGAGGTCAGGCCTTGGAGATGTGGGGTGCCAGAGGTTGAGGGCAGGGCCTGGTTAAAGGCCAGATGGGCACAGAGGCAAACATCAGGGAAACCTTGGTCCTGGCCAACGGTAGGGCCTGGGGTGGGACGTGCTGCCAGTGGCTCATCTGTCTGGTGTGTGGCTGCTCACGGCCATCAGGGTTAGCCAAGGGCTTCCTGTTTACACCCTGGGGGCTGGAGGAATGATGAGCAGCCCCCCTCACTCCCTCAATCCATTTTCAGAGCCCAGTGAGCCATCGCCCAGCTTTGGGTCTAGTCCAGGAGAGGTTCACCCTAGGAGCTATGGTAGGCAGGGACTAAGGAAAGAACCGGGAAGGGCTTTGAGGCAATGTTCCGCTTACTACAGCCAGCCCTCTGTATCTGCGCCTCCACATCCGCAGATGCAACCAACCTCAGTTTGAAAATATCTGGAAAAAAAGCTGGGCACGGTGGTTCACGCCTGTAATCCCAGCACTTTGGGAGGCTGAGGCAGGCGGATCAAAAGGTCAGGAGATCGAGACCATCCTGGCCAACATGGTGAAACCCTGTCTCTACTAAAAATACAACAATTAGCTGGGCGTGGTGGCTTGTGCCTATAATCCTACCTACTCTGGAACTGAGGCAGGAGAATCGCTTGAACCAGGGAGTTGGAGGTTTCAGTGAGCCGAGATTGCGCCATTGCACTCCAGCCTGGCAACCATGTGGATTTCATCTCCCAGCCTGATTCTAAGTTTGTTGAAGACTCATCTTGGTATCTCTGTCTTGGTTTGGGTTCCCCAGGATGCAGGCCCTGAGCATGGTAGCTCACACCTATAATCCTAGCACTTTGGGAGA